AAAAAGGGAAATTGTGTGTGTTAAAACTGGATTTTTGTGGCTTAATGCAAAAAAAAGGAAATTGAGTTAAATTATGTTTTTTTTGTGGCTTAAGGCAAAAAAAAAGGGAAATTGTGTGGGTTAAAACTGGGTTTTTGTGGCTTAAAGAAAAAAAAAAAAAAAAAAGGAAAGTGAGTTAAATTAGGGGTTTTTTGTGCCTTAACACAAAAAAAAGGAAATTGTGTTTGTTAAACTGGATTTTTGTGGCTTAATGCAAAAAAAAGGAATGAGTTAAATTACGGGTTTTTTGTGGCTGAATGCAAAAAAAAAGGGAAATTGTGTGTTAAAACTGAGTTTTTGTGGCTTAATGCAAAAAAAAAGGAAACTGAGTTAAATTATGGGTTTTTTGTGGCTGAATGCAAAAAAAAAAAAAAAAAGGAAATTCTGTATGTCAAAACTGATTTTTTTCGTGGCCTAATGCCAAAAAAGGAAATTGTCTGTATTGAACTACGGGCTTCTTAATGCAAAAAGAATAGGGGTGGTCCTTCCTTTACGACCACAAATTAGCCCCCATTTTCCGTTGTTAAGTGAGACATTTCTTCCGTGAATTTTGCCCCATTTTACGACCTTGGTCGCCGTTAAGTGAATCAGTGCAGTCGTTAAAGGTGACACGGTTGTTAAGCGAATCGGGCTCCCCCCGTTGATCTTGCTCGTCCGAACGTCGGAAAAGGAGGATCAACCTTGGGAACACTGCGACCGTTGTAAGTATGAACCCAGGTGCCAAGCTTCTCAATTTTGATCACGTGGGTTCTGGGAATGCTGCCAACGTCGTAACTGTGAAAAACAGTCATAAGTCCCCTTTTCCAGTGCCGTTGTACCTTGGGAACGGTCACTAAGCAGAACGTTGTAAGTTGGGGACTTTGTGCAATTAGTATATATCCCAGGAAAGAGACAGTTGCCTTCAAGATTTCGGCTGTGAAGACCTTCTCTTTTGCGACCTTCCAACTTTTCCCCTCCGAAGGTCGCAAAAGGAGGATCGGGGGACCCCTGGGACGCTGCGACCGTCATAAATATGAGTCAGCTGCCGAGCTTCTGAATTTTGATCACCTGATGCTGGGGATGCTGCCAAGGTGGTTAAGTGTGAAGAATGGTCCAAAGTCCCTTTTCCCCCCAGTTGCCATGGTAACTTGGAACGGTCGCTAATCTACCTCCCTCTATATCTATCTATCTATCTATCTATCTATCTATCTATCTATCTATCTATCTATCTATCTATCTAATGTCCATCCATTTTTCTTTTTCTTTCCTATCTATCTCCATCCATCATCTATTTTTTTTCTTTCCTATCTATCTCTATCCATTTTTTTCTTTCCTATCTCCATCATCTTTTTTCTTTCTTTATCAATCTATCTCCATCTATTTTTCTTTTCTTTCTTTCCTATCTCCATACATCCATTTTTTATCTCAATACATCCAGCATTTTTTTCTTATTTATCTTTCCATCCATATTTTCTTTTCTTTCCTATCTATCTCCATTTTTTCTTTCCTATCTCCATCCATCCATCATCTATTTTTTATCTATCTCCATCCATATTTTTTATCTATCTATCTATCTATCTATCTATCTATCTATCTATCTATCTATCTATCTATCCATCCATCCATCATCTATTTTTTTCTTTCCTATCTCCATCCATTTTTTCTTTCATCTTTCCTATCTCCATCCATATCTATCTCCATCCATCCATCATCTATTTTCTTTCTTTCCTATCTATCTCCATCCATCATCTATTTTTCTTTTTTTCCTCTTTCCTATCTCCATCCATATCTATCTATCTATCTATCTATCTATCTATCTATCTATCTATCTATCTATCTATCTATCTATCTATCAAATATAGATGTATATAAAATATAAATAAAAACAATTTTCTACCACGAGACAAGGGTCCCAAGTAGCCATCATTGCTTTGTACATCAGAGAGACCCTCCTTGGTGGGCACCAGGAGGCCTGAAAGGTCATCTATACGTGTTCCTTTCTTCCGATTTGCTTATGGACTGACTAGGCAGATCGTCGGATACGGTCAGGAAGGACGTTGAGCCAAGCCGTGGCTAAGGGTGCAACTTGAAGGGAGAGCCCACTATCCTGTTTCTAGAGAGCAGGGGGTCTGAATTCAGGCAGTCCTCAACTTACGACCACAATGTCCGTTGCTAAGCGCCACTCGGCGATTCACTTAACAAAGGCCGAGAAACATTTCCTAATCGAGTATCACCCGATTGGATGACCTTCCCCGCCGCGGTCGTTAAGTGAATCCTTGCAGTGGTTAAGTGAGCCAGACGGTCGTTAAGTGAATCCGGCATCCTTGTGCTGATTCTAAGGTCGCAAAAAGGGGATCCGCGTGACCCTGAGACGTTGCGACCGTCATAAATGTGAGCTCGTTGCTGCCGAGAGTTCAAATTCGGATCCCGTAACCATCTTGGGGAGGGTGCGACGGTCGTTCAGGGTGAAAATGGTCGTTAAGTCCCTCTTTTTTGGCGCTATTTTGCCATTTCAGTCACTAAGCGGATGAGTTGTAGGTCGAGGACTCGGTGAATTCAGTATTTACGTTCTCTCTGCCTCCGTCCATTGTTGAGGTGGGTGCTCACCCCTCCATTTCCCCCTTTTGATGCCGAATGTACACAAGAAACGGCTACGTTCACAACCGTTGTGTTCCTGTGAAGGACCGGGCCCAATCCACCGGGCATCCTTCTATGCAGGCAGGGCTGGATAGCCTCAAGAGGGCCCCAATGATGTGTAACTGGAAGCATCTGAGCCCTCCGGATTGATTTCAATATAAATAGTTTTCGAATTAATAAGAGTCTGTTTAGTGACCATTCGGACCTACAACGGCACTGAAAAAAGTGACTTATGATTCTCGTTCACACTTACGACCGTCACAGCGTCCTCGTGGTCACATGATACAAATTCAGCCACTTGGCAACCGACTCAGATTTATGACGGTTGCAGTGTCCTGGAGTCACGCGATTCCCTTTTGCCAACTTCGGACCAGCCAAGTCAATAATAACCATGTTACTAACTTAAGAACTGCAGCGATTCACTTAACAGCGACAAGAATGGTCGTAAAATGGAGTCAAACTGACTTCACAATTGTCTTGCTTAGCAACGGACATTTTGAGGGTACATCTAAAACAAGCATTCCTAATTTTGGGCTGCTCAGTTGTGGTCGGTATGTCGAGGGCGACCTGCCTAACCCACAAACGCAACGACGACACGCCGAGTTGTTTAAAAAAACCCACATTTTTTTTTATTTTAAATGTCACAAAAAATTGAGAAATTTGTGCTACAAGAATCAAAGTCCCCCCCCCACGCCACCCCCAAAAAACCGGAGCCAAAAAAAAAAAAAACCCAACAAAAAAAAAAAAGACATCTCCCCTTTCTCACGCGTACCGAAACACCGTTGTGTTAATAACTCCTCACACATACATAACGCAGCAGGATCCGGTCACTAGTCGAGTTAAAAAAAAAGGAAAGAGAGAGAAAGAAAAAGAGAGAAGAGAGAGAGAAAGAAAAAAGACAAATCTGTTTACAATCAAAATCTCGCTAAAAAAAAAAAAAAAAAAAAGGACTCGGAGGCGATCCGTCAAAAAGGACCCAGGTTGAGAACCACAATTCCAATAGTGCTCCCAAAGTAAGGAAGGGGTGGGGGGATGGGGGCACACGGGAGACCCATGTTGAAAACCACAATTCCCAAGATAAGGAAGGGCGGAGAGCACGCGCGGGAGACTCACGTTGAGAATCACAATTCTCACGATCCTCCCGAGGTAATGAGGAATGGGGGATTGCGCGGGATGAGAAGGGACTCCACTCCCTTGTCCAGCTGTGCCTTTGAAAAGGGGACCAGATCTTCCTCAAATAAGGGAAGAGGTTGTGACAACCCCCCCCCCCCAATTGTTACCGTACACAGCCACTGAATTCTTCACACTTGGGCGAGTGGGGAATGAAGCGGATTTCGGGTGTCCGTACCCCCTTGCCCTTGCAGACCCTGAAATGCACTTAGACACTCGCACCGTTTTTCGGGATCAGTTTTGGTTCAAAAGCTCTCCAAATGTTGGGTGTCGAGGGGTATGTGTGTGTGTTTGTGAAAAGGGGGGCCACAGCTGGCCCTGGCATCCCGGAGGGCGCCCCCTTGCCTTTTTTGGCGAGGGACCCATTAAGGCCGAGGAGGCCAGGGAGCGTGGCTGGAAATAAAGAGGGTGCGGCTGATTCAAAGTCGGCAGTCCCCCCCCATTTCTAAAGGTTCGAAGGGAGGCGAGCATAGGTAAGCAGGGGTTTGGGGGTCCAGCAGAGGTTGGGGTGTTCCTATGAAAGATGGGAGGTGGCTTTATTCGGACCCCAAAGAGGGTCCATGTTTGCTGGCTTGCCCTCCCCCCCCCAGTGCAGCGGTTTTAAGAGGTAGTTTTGAGAACTGATGGCGGTGGAGGATGGTGATGGGGTTGTGGAGCAAGTGGGCTGAAGGGGGAGGAGCCACAGAAAGGGGGGAGGGGGGGCTGGGAGGGGAGGTCCCTATGGATTATTACATTGACGTTGTGGGGAAGGGAGAATGCGGTGTGCCCCCCCCCCCGGGGTTCAAGGAGAAAAGCGTGAAGGAGGAAGACCGATGTTCTGGAGAACTTGTCCAACCTGGAAGAAGAGACGTAGACATCTCCTAGAAGAATTGTCGTCTCGAAGCTACGGGGAACCCTTTCTTTCCCTCCTCTGGTTCACCGGACCAAGGTGGTCCATCTCGGTTCTTGGCCTGACCCACTGACCCAGCCCCCCAACCTCAGGAGATCTCCACCAACTCTTTTGAGGATGCTGGAAGCCCTTGGTGGCCAGGAGACCGAAGCACCACGATGTACCAACTCTGGGCCGGAAGGACCACCCAGAGAATGATGGCTGCCCCCGTCCCAAAAACTATGGGAGTTGTGGGTCAAACGACGCAGAAGGGGGTGGGGAAGAGAAGCCGGGAGGAGGAGGAGCAGAACATGGAAGAACGATGGTGTTGGTTGCATCTGCCAGAGCTTGAGAAGGTCCTGGTTGCGAAGGACATGTTTCAGGGTGCGGTGGAGGCGGGGAGCGGTCCCGCGGGTGGCGGCGTTGCCCCATCGGCCGGAGGAGGAGGAGGAAGAGATGGAGGCGGCTGAGGATCTGAGAAGAGATACCAGAGAAAGAGAATTAGGAGGAGCATCTGGAAAGAGAGATCTGATCTTCCAAGTTGGGTTCTTCAGACATTCACGAGAAGATTCAACATCTGGCCCGGCTTAACTTAGGTAGAAGATGGGTTGGGAGCCACCTCTGAATGTTGAAAAAAACGTGAAGGTTTGGTCATAAAATGAGGCCCCCGTTTACGAGGAAGACCAAGGACCAACCGTTGAAGATCTCCACAGCCACTGGTCGGTTGGGAATACAGTTAGCCCTTGACTTACGATAGTTCGTTGAGTGACCGTCCGCAGTTATAACGGTACTGACAAAAGGGACTCACGGCTGTTGCTCACACTTAGCGACCGTTGCAGAAGCCCCCAGGTCACGGGATCCAAATTCAAACTGACTCGTACTTATGACGGTTGCAGTGCCCAGAGGTCGCATGATTCCTCTTTGCGACTTTCCGATGAGCAAAGTCAACGGGGAAGCCGGAATCGCTTAACGACCATCTGACTAACTGAACGACTGCAGGGATTCGCTTAACAACCCAGTGGCGAGAAAGATCATAAAACGGGGCAAAAAACTCACTAAAACAAAACGTCTCGCTTGGCAACGGAGAGTTGGGACTCCATTGAGGTCATTAACTCGAGGACTACCTGCATCTTTCCCCTGGGAGGTGTCTAACTCCAGATATGAAGAGTCTGGGACAAAGCGATCGTGGATCGCTTAAGGACGGGCGGTCCTCGACTTACGACGACAATGGAGTCGGTTGCTTTTGGGGGGGGGGAGTTTGTGCGGTTGTTGTCGAGGACTCTCTGTACGCAAAGAGTTGGATTTTCTTTGGTTTATGGCTTAGAAAATGGATTGGCCGAATTCCCAGCAACGCCCATAAAAATGGAGTTGGCAGTTCAGGAATGGCATGTCAGGAAGCCAGAGGAACCCCCTGCCACTGGATGGAATATTTTTTTAAGAGGCTTGCTTCAAATAAAAACCAAGGGCTTTCGGAAGGATTACGGATAGCAACGGGGCTGAAAGTTTTTCAAGAAACTATTAGACAACTGGGATGGTCGAAATAGTCCTCGACTTACGACAACTGAGGCCAAATTTTTTGTTGCTAAGTGAGACATTTGTTAAGTGAGGATTGTACGCAAAAAAATTTCAACAAAAAAAATATATTTTTAGAGGTTTCCTAGCTGCTTCCATTTCCACCAGTTTCTATCTTCATAAGCAATTATATTTACAGGTGGTCCTCAAATTACGACAACGGAGCCCCCAGATCCTGTCGCTAAGCGAGACACTTGCAAAGTGAGTTTGGCCCCATTTTCTTGCCCCCGTTGTTAAGTGTTGAGTCCAGCAGTGTCAAATAGGGGAAAGCCGGATTCGCTTAACGACCGTGGACTAATGGAAGGGATTCGCTTAACAACCGGTGGCGAGAAAGGTGGTAACATGAGGCAAAGCTCCCTTAGCAACTGTCTCGCTTAGCGATGGACATTTTGGTCTCTATGGTGGTCATACGTCCGTCCATCCACTTGCTCGCTTAACGACGGCGGACAGAGAGGTCGCCAAACAGGACCGCATTCACCTCACACGCCATTCTCGCATAGCCATGGAAATTTGGAGGGGTCCGTGGCGGTCGTTAAGTCGAGGACTGCCTGCCCATTTCAGAAATCAAATCCAATTAAACCTGGTGTCCGAGCGTCGGCCGAAAAGGGAGATGGGGGGTCCCCGAGGGAAGACTTACACAAGCCGTTGGGAGATGCCAGGGGTCCCCGGGGTCCCACGATGTTTCCCGGCCCAGAGGGAGGGATGGTGGCGCCGGCGGCTGACTGGGCGCCGGCGGATCCGGCTGGCATGATTCGGCTTGGCAAGGCCTGTCCGGGCATCATGGAGCCCTGTCCAAGGATTGGACCTGTAAGGGGGAAAAGAAGACACGGGTGTTGGAGGAGGTCTGTGATGGTGGTGGCCCTTGGAGGCCACCCTTGAAGTTCTGGAACAGCTCCCTGTCCAGATCTCCATGCATCCATCTTCTGGTCCTCTTCATCCATCCATTCCCTCCCTCTCTTCCATCCATCCATCCATCATCTGGTCCTCTTTATTCATCTCCTCCTCCTCCTCCCTTCCATCCATCCATCTTCTGGTCTTCTTCATTCATCAT